ATCTAGGAACTTGGGAAATTTTGAGATCAAATCATGCCAAAAATGATCTTCTATCTAAAACACTCATATCACTCCTGTGACATGTAAACATCCTTCTCCCAGATAGTGAATGTTGGGGAGTTGCATCTTCCCTGCTTCCCTTTCAGTTTTTAAATTCACCCTCTTTCTGCATTTAAAAGTCCACCTCATATCTTTCAGAAATATCACTCTCTTCATATTGTTTTATTCAATTTTCTCTTGTGAATGTCTTTTTTGTTTTTCTTGGGAAGCCACAGACTTATTCAAAGACTGGAAAGTATAATCACTTTATGGTGGATAAAACATATGCTACCAGTGTGGTCCGGAGAAAACCTGAATGTCCTCTAAAGACTGTACAGCTCAGTGGTCACCAAAGCAGGCCTGCCTACCCTAGAAGTACCCCATCTTGCTGCAAGGGATATCTGGGCATACAGAGCTAAAGGACTTCCCAAGCTTCAGATTAACAAATAAACCCAGAGCCATGTGCATGTTATGTTGTTTACCACTGAGCTTTATCCTATTTCCAAGATGAGTGATTTTGATGACAGCGTGACAAGTCTTTTCAAGTCAGGGGCTCATGACAAAAAGAACAGAAGAACCCCACCACAGCATCAGCAGAGAAGAAGTTAAAGTAAATCCTGGGAGTTAACTGTGGCAAAAAGCTTCACGAATTGGGTAGCACTGTCTAAAAATAGAATAGTCCCCATGTATTTATTTATCTCAACACATTTTCCTGGTATTTAAGTATAGTAGGAATTCTATTACACCGAATAGGAGGACAGTGTGCTAAGCATGACATGTTCTAGTTTTAAAGATTATTTGCTTATCAAAAAAAAAAAAAACTGATGCGAAAAAAACAGCTCAAATCATCTCATTCAGTTGTTTTCCTATTTGGATTTTGAAACTTAAATATTTAAATTTCAAATTTTTAATGGCTTTACATTGTTCTAATCAAATATAGATCAGTAAATTACAATGATGATTTATCCAGGTAAATTGTTAACTTTTATAACTTCATTATCATAAGAAAAATTAATTTTCAAATGCCAATGACAACTTTTATGCTTGATAGCTTAATCAATGGAAAACTTTCAAGTATGAATATGTTTAATATTGGATAAAATTCATAGTGGAACTAAAATGAAGAATGAGTCCACAATTGAGAAAAGAAAAATACAAAGTTTCTGACTACCAAAACTTCAGCTTTTCTTCACATTTTAAAACTGCTTATAGTGGAGTTGGAGATCTGACTCGGTGGTTAAGACCACTGGCTGCTCTTGTTGAGGTCCTGGATTTGGTTCCAGTCACCCACATGGTGACCCACAACTATATGGAACCCTCTTCTGACCTCCACAGGCACTCACAGGTAGACACACAGGCAAAACACTCATATACACTAAATAAATAAATAAATAAATAAATAAATAAATAAATAAATGTTAAAGGGTGAGAGTACATACATACTAAAATGCTGTTTCTAGGTTCTACTGAATCACAAGCTGTGTAAGCAAAGGGCCTGCTGTGCGAGCATGACAACAGCAGTTCCTCTCTCAGCACCCATGTAAAAGCCAAGCTTGGTGCCACACATCTTTAACCACACTGCTGGGCATGGTGGGGTATGCAAAGACATCACACACACACACACACACACACTTATTTTGTATGTGGAATTATGTAAAATGTTTATTGCAGAACTGCAATATTTAAAATACGATGAAACAGCATCCATTTATAAACTTTTCTTAATTTTATTGTGATAAAACTCTTGAGACTTGAAATCTGTGGAGTACGTACCTTTAAACTTTATTTTAGAATGTACACTATAAAAATCACTTAATAGTAACTTCTCACAGCAGCACACTTTTGATCTTTGCCAGGGATCATTTGATGGACTCACACAAGCTCTGAATTAAACTCTGATTAAAACCTAGACTTTGCTTGTTGGGTAAACACCTCAATAGACTCATTTTTGTTCTATTTTGGCATTTGCTCTTTCTTGTCTGGCTGGGATGCAAACACACTGGAATGAGTAATAATGGGAAAAGATTACACAGTCTCAAATGACTCAGTCAGGGTCCTATATAAACTTTCTTCTTAAGCTTGTTTTTAGAAAAGAATAAATTGAGTGAATTATCCTGGTTTGTTTAGCAAATATGAGTTGCAGCACAGAGGAAAGAATGGTGTCCAAATTTTAGTGCTAACATCACGCTGTGTATCCATTGCTTCAAAAGCAATTTCTCTGGCCTTGTAATGTTAGACAAAATTAAAGAGAAACACACTAAAAATCGACATTACTAAGTCTTCTACTACTTGATAACACTGTTTGTCTTTCTCTTTCAGAGATTTTTTTTTCTCTTGGGAAATGGTTCTGCAAAGCAATGCACTAAATCAACTTTGAATCTTTTGCAATGCATTTTCTTTTGATGTATTCATTTCACTTATTAAGTTTTATCCAGTGAGATTGCTCAGAGGGTAAGCATGCCTGCCACTAAGCTCGATGACCTGAGTTTTATCACCAGATACCAACTGTTAGGAGACAAGCAGTCGTCCTCTGACCCCCATTGCACACCCATGCCCCACATAAATACAAATCAAATAAATTAAAACTTAAATGAAAAGTAAATTTTTTATCTACTTTCTGGACTGATAGTACATGCTAGTCCAGTTGTTACCTTTTGTGTTCCAGATGAATTCACTTCAGAGCAACAAAGATCTCCTTACTGCCACAAGGACACAGCCCTTCTTGTACTTGTACAGATTCTTGTACTTCTTTTCTATTTCAACTACCATGGAATTATATCTCCCTTAAGTAATCCCTGTGGTCAAGGTTTTATACTCCGAACTGATGTGACACTTAGCCCTTAAAAGTATAGAGAACCACTTAATGCTGACTTTGAATAGTGCAAATCTCATTCATACTTCCTCCCAGTATAGAATATCCTACCAATTTAGTTAGTAGTGCCTAGCTCACTCAAAAAAAAGCTGTTGTAGACAGAAAAAGGATAACTTCCACATAAAGTTGTGTTAAAGAAATGACTAATGAAACAAACTCAAAAGGAAAACCTGTCTTTGCTTTTCTTTTGTTCATGTTATTTTCAGACAGGGTCTCACTCTGCAACAAAGGTTGGCTTCCAACTAGTGCCAATCCTCCTGTCTAGGCTTCCTAAGTCCAGGGATTGCTATGGTGCCTGGTTTGAGAATCTCTTCTGTATTATGCAAGTCCAATTTCACGTGTAGTTTTGATATCCCAGGAGAAAGATCTTAAAATAACTTGACCCACTTTTGATCTATGGCATTTTCTTTAAATGTGAGTATAATTGATCATTCTTCCACAGTATCAAAAAAGCTACTAAGTAAAATGGGCCCATGGGCAGTATCCAATATCAAAACTTTCATATGGGCAAAAAAGTCAAACTTATTCTCTTCTGAATCTTCAGAGACTACGGCCATGAAATACAGTGAGTGCTTAGCAAGGACTAAAGGAATAAAACTTGAAGGAATCACTATGGAGAGCTGAACTGGTTTGACATCATCTGATAATTGGATATGATCATTTAGTCTCTAAATTTAGCTTCTAGATATATAGGAGTCAGGAACACAACATTTTAAGTTTCTCTTGAGTGTATCACACAGGTTCTGCAGATTATCTGCTTTCACTCTACGCTACGTAACTTTGGACAAAGAACTTCATCTCTCAATGCCCAGTTCTCCTTCCAAATGCAATGGTGGTCATTGTTAGCCTACTGTGAGATGATCCATGTGAACTCCTGGCTGGTTCACAAGACAGTAGTTTAGTTCGAGCTATCACTTCCTAACCACATCTCTTGCATATCAGAGATTCATGCATAGCGGGGACATGAGCACACTGCTAGACTTTCTACCTCACTGGCTACAAGTTTGTTGAGCCATCTCCCTACTAAACATACAATTAAGTCAACCAGGCAAGGAGCTGTTTCCTGTGATGAAACCAGATCATAAAAAGTTTGGTGTGTATTAGGATTTAAAGTTGGAAATAAACAGACAAGTCACAATATAGTAAAAGAAGAATTTTTAGGTTTCTTTGGTGAAACAAAAGCAGATATAAAAAGTTACAAAGATTTTAGATTTTCATTCACAAAAAAAGTCATTCACATTTTACACTATACATGTTATGATATAAATACAAGGAAGGATTATGTGCATTTTAATGAAATGGGGAAAGGTTTTAATAAGCCAACACAGTGATTTTCTGTGCTCTGGAACACAGAAAGTTGGGCTACACTTACTGCAGAGACCCAGGATCTTCCTAAGACACTATGTGTACTTGTAAGCACAGTCATTCTTTAAAAGCCAAAGGCAGCTTCATGAGAAACAATCTACATAGGGACACCCCTGGCTGCTCTTTTTCTATTCCTTTCATTTGTGAAAATTTGCTTTGATCTCATGTGTAAAACAAAATTGTCCATATTTATGGGACACCTAGGATGGTTCAATGCTTATTATGTAATTTTAGTTTGGTTTCTGCTCACTTTTTATTGGTAGTTTTTCTTAAAGTTGCTCTAAATGAACTTTGTGAAAGAGTAAAAAAGCCTTAAATTCCTTCTTTCCATTAGTGGTCTTATCTTTGAACCATAAAATATCTGGGGTAAAGATTCAATATCATCTTTAGTGACCACTATTCAAATGCAAGGGTAAAATGGGATGGGGAAAGAGAAGCAAAAACTTCAACACATACACACTCCACCTAAATGGAAGAAATGCCCACACTACTTCTATGCTTACACTCTTGCTTGGAATGGGCAAACACCACTTACTGAAATCTAAATGCTTTTCCCTTCTCCCTAATAAACACTGGAAGCATTCTATTCATCACATTATTGAATCGGGAACAGGGTACCTATATTATAAGGTATCAAACTTTGAAGGAAGTATAAAAGTAACACTGAAAAATTACTAGCATACTATATTGATTTCAGGTCTTGGGGAAAATAACATCCAATAAATTAAATCCATATGGCTTACTTCATTTATTTAGGTGTGCTTCATAGCTGCAGCATTCATACATGAACATTCAAAAATTGTATAAAGGATTAAAATGGTTATATGTACAGAATGGAGGGTTTTGATTCTTCTTTTTTTTTTTTTGCACACGTGTTTTTGTTTAAAAGCACCCCCACCCTCCACAACAAGGTGTAAACCCTTGGTCTACATCCATTCCAAATGCCTTGATCCATTTCTTTACCAGCGTTAGTGTTAAGAAAGCCATTATAAAGGAATCTTGGTTGAGTTAATAATTAGCACTTTGACCCCTAAAACAGTTCCAGGTCATAGAAAAGTCCTCCATTCAAGCCCTTCTCATAAGTGAAGAAAAAGGAACGTGGCAAAGCAGGGCTACACCCTGCCGCTCTGAGTTTCATCAGTCTCCCATCCGCCAGGCATCAGCTCGGACAAGCACAGCTCCGGAGCTGCCATGGGGACAGAGAATCGCAAGATTTTGTTTGCTGGTTGTCCAGGAAAGCCGTCCTCAAACTTGCTGACAGTAAATGGGCAGACAAAAACCATTTCCAGCCTAAACAAGCTATAGCAAAGCAGCCAAACCAATGATTAAAGACATAGAAAGCTCCATAATCATCATTAAATATGCCCAAACTCGGTGTGACATTTTATTTTATATACAGGATTAAAATCAACATTAAACCATCTTATTTACATGGCCTTCGGTGCTGAAATTGCAATTTTTTTTCTTTTTTAAATAGTACAGTAGGCTGGCATACAGGAAACAGTCTGCACTGCAGGCAGAGGGAACTAAAGAAATTAGGTAGGCTGGAAATGGGTACTTTCTTCACTCATTTTCTTTCATTTTATTCGCTTTTTTCTTTGAATTCCATGTTTCATTAAAAAGATTTTAAGAGCACAGCAACCCCAAATGATGAGACGGCAGTCCCCAAATTCAAACCAACTTCGAATACTTCTTCAGGAGCTAAGAAAGGCACGGAAGGTCAGGACTTTGGCTGAATGATGAAGCACGTGGTCGCCATTTTACGGATCAGCGCCTTGACTCCTGCCACCTCCCGCTCCAGCGATGTTCATGCTTTGATGTGTTTATGGAATTGTCCTTTGCTGATGAGGAATTTTTTAAGTATTTCTTAGAATAAGTCCTTTGGTATTCAGATGCTACATGGAAGAAAACAAACAAAGAAAACACAACAGTATTACTTGCTCCATACCCTAAACTACGGATACCACAGCTGTAAAATGTGGGTGTCTAGTATCTGTTAAAGCATGGTCGTCCGCTCTGTCTAAAGGACCACTTACGGTTCATGCAGGTTATTTTAGGCATAGCCCATCTCCCATTTCCTAGACACCGGATAGTTGGAAGGTGACGCTGAATGAAACCATCTTTGCAGTGATATCTAATCAAGGAGTTGATTTCATAACGTGGTTTCATCTTTCCAAAGGTCTTGGCATTTTCTACAACAGGGGGCTGGCCGCAAGCAACTAAGAAAAAAAAGCAAATTGTGTTATTTCCAAGTAATCCAAGCATTTGAATTAGTGTTAGCATAAAAATCACCTCCTTATGTTTCTTCACTGTAACACCATCAAAACCTCAATCATAACCTCTGTAAAAAGGAATTTACAATATGAAAGAATTTAAAATATTGAGGTTGAGGCTCTGGATGTAGATTTTTATCTCAGATAATTTTGAGTTGTGTTCATTAAAATGCAATTATCATTAAATGGCTATGTTTATCTATCCATATACAAAGACACTTTTCTCAAATACTTTGATTAAAAATCCTGTCTGAAAGCACTAAGTAGCCTACTGATTCTGTCTTTATTATCTCTCATCTTTTATCAAGCATCTTGAATTGGGGTGATGATGTATTTGCAACAGTTAACTATCCTCCCCTGAAAAAAATAGCATAATCTTTAACATCAATAATTTGAAATATAACTACGTGCTCCGGGACCTCGGAGCAGCAGCAACCAGCTGGGCCTCACTCTAGAGATCCGCAGGATCCAGATGCAGGGTTATGGCTGTGTCTACCCGCTTATCCATCTGCACCTCTGAGGAATTGTAGGAGGCTGACAAGAACACAGGGGAGGCTGAGAACACCTATATTCTGAGGCCCATTTTCCAGCAAAGGTTTAGACCCTCTATGGTTAAAGACTGCATCCATGCCATGCTCAAGGAGGAACTGGCAAGTGCTGAATATTCTCCAAATGAAATGCCTCATCTCACAAAACATGTCAGAAATCATTAAAGATAAACTAAAAGAATTGGAATATGACAGGTATAAAATGGTGGTGCAAATAGTGATTGGAGAACAGAGGAGTGAAGGAGTATTCATTGCTGCTGCTGCTGAGATGCAGACACTGACAACTACACTCATTATGTCTTCATGAAGGACAGCTTATTCTGTGTTATAGCAGAGTTTGGTTGTTTCTACTACTGAATCTTTGGAAAGAATGACTGTGACTATGAATAAACCTCAAATTTTTATATTGTTAACTATCCTGACCAAATAAAAATAAGTTGGTACTTTGGCACCTAAAAATAATAATGATAATAATAATAATAATAATAGACATATTTTTCTAAATATAAATGAAATGTTATCTGTTCCCACCTATTCTACACTGAAATGGGGAAGTAAAACAATGTTATTTCCTCAGGTTCGTGTGTCTGTCTGTCTGTCTGTTGTTTGAGACAGGATGTCATGCAGTCCAGGCTAGCCCTGAATTCACTATGTAGATAGGGATAACATTGAATCCCTGATCATACTATATCTACTTCACACACATTGATATTGCAAACACATGCTACTGTGAATGCTTTATGCAGCTGTGAAGACTGAACTTAAGCAAGTGCTCTACTCTGTTTGAGCTGCATCCCAAGCCCCTCATGCCACAGTTTCTTAATTTGCTTAATATACATACTCAAACTCTTATGAAAGGTAATAAGTCTTAAAATACTTTGTTGTATTTTGATTCACAGTGGAAAACTTTAGCTATTATCAGACTAAACAATAAATATGAATAATAAGAAGTAGACTTAAGACATCTCATTATGTGAAAATCTAAGATGAGAAAAGCAACTCAAGTGAATTTGTATTCACTAAGTTTTATCTTGCATGAGTACATTTTTAAAGATTTATTTATTTAATGTGCATCAGTGTTTTTGCCTGTATGTATTACATATTAGAAGGCTGTTTATAAGTACATTGTTATTCAATGACAAATTCAGGTTTAATTTTAATATTTAGTTCTTTCAATTTACTTCTGCTTTATCCAACTTGCATCTACACACTGCATTTATTATAATATTAAATCTAAACTATGTCTCAGATAATGACAAGGATCAGTTAGATTGAGGCTACAGTGATACAGGAGATTAAAATAATCAACTAGATAACTGATTGTATATGATTCTGTATTCTAATGACAAATTAGAAGGTGAATTCAATTTTTTGCATTTTTAGGAAATAATTACATGATTTCCTCAAAATTATTTATATGTAAAGATTATAAAAAGCTAACATAATTTAGTGGAATATGATAGTGGTAAGGCTAAGGAAGGAGACTGAAATTAGATCCAAACATATAAGTTTGATATTTGACAGGAACAACATGGCAGAGCAGAAAAGAAGGCAGTCTTAAAACATGAATGATCTGGTATTCATTTGACAAAATATATTAGCTTCCCTACCTCATGGAACACATGGAAAGTCACTTCTAGGTAGCTTGAACACATAAACACAAATGCAAAGTTATATAACATTCAGCAAACAATACCATCTTTATGATTTTAGAGTTCATAAAGACTTTCTAAAGCACAGAAAAAGTTGAAATAATAAAGAAGCATTAAAAATTATGAGTTATCTTCATCAAAACCCATAATGTGAGATGAAAGAAACACTGCAAACTAGAAGCTATGTACAGACTATATAACTGCCAAGGAATTAGAAATAAATATATGATACTATCTTCAATAAATATCCAAGAAAATGTAAATTAAATCACAAAGGATAACATTTCATACCCACCAGACTGGCCCAAAATTTCCCAAGTCCAATAATATCAAATGTTGGAGAAGAGGCAAAGTAACAGGGCCTCGCACACATGCTGGTGAGACTGTGAATTGCTACAAGTTTGGGATGTAGTAAATCTGATGATACATAGATCTTACGACTCAGCTTCTTCACTCCTGGAAATATGTCCTACAGAAACTCAGGAAAGTCTACCAAGAGCAAGTTTAGGAGTATTCACAGAAAATTATTTATAATAGTAAAAACTGACTGCAACACAGACGTTCACTATCAAAAGAACAATAAAATGTAGTTGCATATAATGAACCACTTACACAGCAAAAGCAGAGAACATGCAACCACAAACATCCACACACATGAATCTCAATATGGCAGAATAGCAAAAAAAAAAAAAAAAAAAAGCAAAGGTAAAGACTACATGTAATATGATTCTTAAATAAGTTTCAAAAAACTGGAAACAAATAATCTGTTGTTGTGGGATAGCAAATGATCCAAGTCATTGTCACTCCTCTGTTCTCCAATCACTATTTGATGAGGAAATACCAAAAAAGATGGTCCAAAGATGAATGGACATTATGAAAGAAAGGGGTTCTTTTAAAAACAACACTTTTCTGGGTATTAAGCATTTTTTTCTTACCTGTAGTTAATAATTTGAAAAACTACTTGGACAGGTAAGTGAAATGTGTTTGAATTATCTAAGAGACTACCTTTTATAAAACATTGACATTACATATCTCTTCTAGAGCTATGAGAAAAGAATCCATTCTTGAATGAAACCAAATAAGCATCTTCAAAAACTCATACCCCACTGAGAGATTTAAAATACAATTGCATTATGCATATGAATCTTTCTTGGCTCTAAAAGTAAAGTTCTCAGCCTGGATCAATTTTTTCTTAAACTGTACCCACCCCCAGAGAATATGACCAAATGTAGAACCTTTTGGTTGACACAGTGAAGAGGGAATATGGAGGCAATCAGCAAGAGTGAGGCCAGGAGGATGCTAAGTATTATTGATGCACTGGACAGTCTATCACCATAAGGATAATACCCTGTTCAAATGTCAACAGTGCTGCTGTTGTGAAACTAGCTTCGGAGATAGCATGTTGAGACCACAAATGAAAAGCATGACTCTGGAACCATTTTGAGGTCACAGAAGGCAAACATGACATTTGGAGAAAGACAAACAGTTTATTAAAGACTCATTCCTGGAAAAAGGAAAATAGCAAATACTCGATTTGCTATTTTTACCAGTTCCATGCAGAAGTGCTGAGGAAATGCACAGGAAGGACAGCTTCTTATTGATGTAATGCATTGTGGGTATGTTCTACCTTGGATGAGAGAACAACAGAGGAGTCATTAAGAGCAACTGAGTTTCCTGAGACTAGAACTGTGTGTATCTTAATGTTCTCTTTCTTTTTTTATGTTCTCTTTCTTTATACAATTTGTTATAGGTGTGAAAGTCTTTCTTGCCGTGCATGTTTATTGTATGTATGTGTGTGCATTCTATTATTTTTAAATCAAAGAGATTAAATGAATTTTACATTTTGCATTGGTAGTTTGCATCCACTCTTGAGGTAGTTTTTGGTTGACCTAAGAAGTAGATATTCAACTTTAAACTCACTATCACAATAAATGTTGAAATTCTTCCCTGGAATATGCCTTTGCTTTAGGAAGATGGCTATATAGCCATACTCCACGATACAGATACTCAAAGATGTTCATCAATGATAAACACAACATAAGCTGAAATTTCAGCTTTCTTGGTAATTTGTTTTTCTCTGCTTAACACCAACCAAGCAATTTTCACCCAGGAACTTCCCTTAAAAATGTCTTTGTTTATTGAGCATTGAAGGTACTCAATTACAGGCATAGGGCTGGTAGTTTTGTTCCATGGGTTACAAGTGGAAAATAAACTTCTAAGGTAATGCTTAAGAACTCAAATGCACATAAAGATTAAGCAGTTCGTAAAAACAGTCAACATTTTGGTTGAAAATTGTAGTGAATACGAGCCTGCAGCCCTCTCCAGGGCAGTTTCTCATTTCTCCATTGTCAACCCATGAAAAGCTTGAATATGAGCCAAGTGCACCAGATCCTCTTATCAAAAGAAAAGTCAAACTTGACTCTTCCATGACACAGCCATGACATTGCTGGCAATATCTTCAGTAATCTCTTCACCATAATAAAAATGCCCATGGGCTCTTGGCCAACAATTTGTTTCTTAAAGAAGCTACTGGGAAGCTTTATATAAAAGCCACCTTTTTATCTTAATCACCTGAAGTCTCAAGTGAGGATAGTATTGAAAACAAATGTTTTAATTCTACTGAGAGAGCAAGACATCCTTAGGCACAAGAAAGAACCAAATATATCTAATTTGCACGTCCTGGACATATGCTGCCAGTTTAGCTGCAGATTTAGCACCAGGCAGTCCTGGTCCTTACCTGTTCCCTTCTTGCAAGTGTAGGTGAGATGGTAATTACAGGGAACATCATTCCACTGGCCGTTCTCATGCCAAATGATCACAACACAGTCTTCTCCGGCAGAGAAGAAGCTGTCTGGCTGGTTGGGTCTCCAGTTCTCATATTGCTGTAAAGGTGGAGAGAGAAGGAGAGACGATAAACACTCAACAGTCAGAGGGTAACATGAGCACTCCAGTGGCTGTCTGGCTGGAATTGACTCCATGACTGCTATTCAACCACAGAACGGAAATTATTTTCATTGTAAATACTTTCAAACCCTTATGGGCAACACATGTATCTCAAAAAGTTGGTTTAACAAATAGCTATTTTTTTTGTCAATTAAGTGTCCTTGAAAATTTTTTATCTAGCTAACCCAGATTCCTAAATATGCAATCTGCCCTCAATTTAAGACATATCATCATTATCTTATTATTAAATGTAACAACAATAAAATTTAATAGACAAAATTTTCACAATCTCCCAGTCGATTATGTTTTTTTAGACTTTGTATGCATTTACAATCTTGTATAGCTGTAATTTGTAATGTAATAGAAGTAGGTCCCTCCTTATTTTCTAATTATTAAATATGTTTTTTGTTTAATACAATACTGTTATCCAAATCCATTGCTTGAGTTTGCTAACTGAAGATATTTGCAATTTATTTGTGTTTATCTGATATGCCTATATTCATGTTTTTTTCAACATTCCAGAATCACTGTGGCTGTGTTTAATTTGTTATTCTTATTTGGACCAGTCTAGTACTGCTTTCTGTTATAATCTTTTACTGAGAACATTTATCAAATTTATGTATATTAACATCAGTGATGTTAGCAAGCAGACTCACCTGGGCCCTGCCTTTTGGGGATCTGGCAGAGTGCTTCACCCCTGTGCACATGTCAGTGCTTCACCCTGTCTCTATGCAAAAGGTCCCTTTAAGAGACAAACTCTGCCCACTCCCGTTACCTGCAGTCCATCCCTTTCCCTTCCCCCAATAAAACTTCCCATATAAGTCTCCCTTGGGGCTTCCTGCCAAGGTCCCTCTCGAATGGAATATTATAACATGTAATATGCTTTCAAAATGCATCAAACTATAAATATGTGTTACTTATGCAAGGTGTTCAAATATTTATTTGAATAGTTTTCTGCTACCTTTGCATTTATGTTTTAAGTAATATCTATTGCTGATCCCTTTTTCTGCACACATGCACCCTCCTGCACACACACACACACACACACACACACACACACACACAGTACCTTTAGCCCTCTATCATACTATTACATACCATTTATTTAGCATCAATACTGTATAAAGACTTCTTCTAGATACTTGATACATATTACCTCTTATAATAATCTGAGACAACTGATAACAATAGCCTCAGAACTCCCTGAGATAAGTTCATTTCCTACCTTAAAATGTTGCCCCCATAGCAGTGAACAATTATATAAAAACAGTCTTTTCTTGTATACACATACATGCCTGTACACACACACACACACACAATGAGACACAGAGAGAGGAGGGTGAGAGAAGGGGGCAGGAGGAAGGGAGAGCAAGACAGAAACAGAGACAGGGAGTGCACAACCATGCAATGAGGAATGCAGGAATCCATTTCTCAACAGGGGTAGGTATCTGGGCTCCAGTCCTGGCTGTGTCCCTGGACTACCCTACAATATAGCAAAGTTTGAATTCTCCATTTTTGCAAACAGCAAGTTGCCACCATTTCCCAGATTTTGATTGACATGGCACTTAAGGGATCTGAGTTTTAGCCTGGGGGCAGGTATTTTAAAAATTGTACTAATTGTGTATTTAAAAGCCAATACAAATGGGACACCAAACCCATGATTTGTCACCATTCCAACATCATTTTTATTCCTCTTTAAACTTATTACAGATTTTTAAGGCAACATAAAGAAAAATCAGCAGATAATACAAGTTATTTGTGGATGATGCAAAACTGAAACTGTGTAGATATTGTTGGGAAAAATGGGGTGCTGGTGAAACAATTCAGTGGATGAAGGTGTTTCCTCCCGAGGCTGATGACCTGAGTTCGAGTCTCAGAACCCACACTGTAGAAAGAGAGAACTAACTCCTGTAAGTTGTTCTCTGTCTTCCATAAGCATACCATAGCCTATAGGTGGGTACATGACCTTACACAGTAAGTAAAAAAATTGTAAAGAGGAGGTGGAGAGATGGCTCAGCAGAGGGACTGAATTTAGTTTCCAACACCCACATGAAACAGCTCATAGCCTCCTACAATTCCAGCTCCAGGGAAGTGATTCTGGGACACCTGCTCCCACCCGCACATATTCACAGACAGACATACCTCCACATATACTCACTTTAAAACAGTACAAATAAATATAGTTTCTTCACCTTCTTCTATACCTATTATTCTTTGGTTTAAAAATGATTTTAGTTAGGAAATAAAGTCAGAGAAAAACTGAAGTATAAAAATAATCATCTTGAATTCAGAGTATATTACAAAATATTTGTGTTTACATAATCCCACCAGTAGGTGCTTTCATTACCATAATCATGCATATTTCAGACCTATTCTACTTTCAAATACCATTTTTGGGGGTGTTGTACACTTGAAGTGTTTTTCATCAAATGTTTCCTTTTAGTTTTTAATCTTTAAAAAATCAGGTTTAGAGAATCTTCCAGAAAAATATTTCTCTACTTAAGACACAATTTTGAATACCAATAAACCCTACACTAAAAATGGTGGAAGTTTCATTATTATGATAGAGAAGGGCTATTATTTTTCTTCCAAGAAAAGAGAAATGATTTTAACAACTTTTAAAAATGGTAAACTTCTGGATTTTTGAGAAGGTAATTTGTAAGTTAAATAACCCAAAATTTGAAGATGTGCCTTTCTTTCAACCTCTTTGCTTATCTTCTCTTTATTATTTTCCATCATGCCAATCTAAGTTAAGAGAGGACTTTCCTGCAATGCAAAAAATCTTTGAAGGGTGATAGTATTGTGTGGAGCTAGGGAGCTCAATGAACCTGCTCCCTCCCCTCCAAATAGAACAAAAATGAGTTATGAGTTCTCTGGGGAAAACCTAATTCAGGATTGAGATGAAGTTAAATGCTGCCCTAGTAACATGAACCATTCTATAAAACCATCCTCTCGAGCCCTAGGAAGGTTCTTAGGAGACCACACTCCCTGAAGCATAGAACTGGTGGGTTTGCTTGCAGCCAGGAACTGAAACTTGCTCTGAAGTGGGTTTTTGAGTTTCCTTTTCCTGTTCTTTTTTTATTTCCCCCTCTTCCATTTGTCATTGCTCGCCCTCCATCACCAATCCTTTTCTGTTTTATATTCTACATTCATAAGCAACAAAACAGAGGTAGGAAATTCACCCTCTACCTGTTGCTGGTGAGTAATTAAGTGGGCCTTTTGAGATGAATGAATCAATGTAGGGCAGAAAGCTTGTTGAAGTCAGAGGTCAGAGAGATGTTGGCAAAACAGCATCTCAGGACATGAAAGGAACATTCTCAAATGAACTCATGGGAGCTGTGGTTTCCTGAAAAATACCTGGGCAACATCAACCCCAACATTCCAGCATGGATGGAGGAGGCACAGGAGCTCCATCTCTGCTGAGTAGGTATTGATAGTTGATGGCTTTTAAGTGGAGGGGGGGTCAGTTTTCTTTAGAGATACGATCTAGGGTGGAATGACTATGCACTAGTGGATGACCCCTCATCCATGTGTATATGGTCGGTCCTACTTGGACTCAGTGGATGTGAGTGACATTGTGCCATCCATCCTCAAGCATCTCTTCCATGCTGCTCCTCTCAAGTGGTTTCTACCTGACAGTCACTGTAATTGAAGACAGTCACCGCACAACTTACCTATTTGTTACTTTCTTTACTACTTCATCCTGAGTGATTGGAGCTACATAAGGTGTATCTGTGGTTTAAGTAGTATGATATTCAAAGAATAGGGGAGATTGCAGCCATAATTTAGCCAGTAGAAATAAACTTTCTGAAAATGCTGATAATGTATATCAAGAACCTCAAAAAGTTCCTGCACTTAGATCTATAATTCTGTTCTTAATATTCTATTCTAAAAAATAACCAGATAGGAACAATGTTTGTGATAAATATTCTTTATAGGAAGGTGTGCTACATTATTTATGATTTAATAAAAGGCCAATGAAATGGAAACCATTATATAGGAATACCATATTTTGAATAAATTTTGATGTGGCCAGAAAAAATGGAATATTATATAACCAAAAATATTTTATTATTGAAGACTATTCAAAAAATGAGAATAATTTTAGATATATAATATCAAACTCATACATCATTTCAGATGCCATTTGATATACCCATAAGACCAAAACACAATCCAGTAAAATGTTATAATGTAAGTACTGTGACACCAAGCTTACCATATTTTTACATGTTTTCTACATTCCGTAGAGTAAGCATAGTTATGTTTCTAACAAATGAAAGTAAATGATATGAAATTACCTACACATTTATCAAAAGTATTCACAGATTCTAGCTAAGATGGTAGAAGCTAACTTCAGCAGATGCCACTCCACATTCCCAAAGACACTCAACAGCTTTGTACTCTTTAGCTGACATTTCCTACTGGTCTGAACAGCACCTGTGCCATTTTCACCCTGAAATAAACGTAAGTTCTGTGCCAGTGAACCGGATCTTGGATCTTAAACTGACAAATGATATAAAACTAAGAAGAATTGCATCTAGCACGCAGCAGTGTTTCAAAATGTGTGACTTTGTTGTTCGGCAGAGCTCTGGCTTAATTGTGTAAGACCAAGTTTTAGTGGTATGGTTTGTATAAGAATATCTAATGCCTACAGGCATGTCACACTATTGCCTCCTGATAACTCAATTGTACTATTTATCTTATCTAGGATGCTTCAAATTTGTTAATGTTATTGCCAAATTGACTGAGTAAAGGAAACTTCAGATTGATGCTTCATCCTTAATCCTTTTATAGGCTTATTTAACATTTATGATGAATGAGTGAAAATAAATAAATAAAAGCATGAATGCAGATTCCATAATGTGTTTGTCATAAACATTAAATATTAGGAAGAAATCCTTCCTGAGGGTATCATCCAGTTATAATAATGTAAGCT